GTAGAAAACGCCCTGAATAAAACTTTTAACCACAGTCATGCTCATGTAACGTCCCTTGAGGTGGCGAGTAGGGCGAGGGTGCGTGGGACCCTGGGCTGCTTGCTCAGGTGGTAGGGCGGGGTCCTCACTGGAGGGCAGTAGAGGACAGATTGGGGTCGCTGGTCCCAGCATGCCGCAGAGGCTGCTCTGGCAGAGCCCGAGGTTCAGACCCACACCCCGTCATAGCCAGCTTCCTCATCCTCTTTCCAGTAGGAGTGAAAGGCTGCGGGAGTGGCTGTGAGCCCTCCCCGAGGGCCAGGGAAGGAGGGCTGTCCAGGTGGAGGGGCGGGGGGGAGGCCCTGTGTCTAAAGCTCTTCACCATCGTCTCACTTTCTGTTCATTTGCAGAGAGTCTGGACGAGACTGGAGAACAGAAAGAAAAGAGTCCTCCGGAGCCCCCCGCCGCCCCCCACACCCCCCCCAGCACCCCGGTCCAGCTGGAGGAAGGTGAGCTCTCCGGGGGTGGGGGGCAGCGGTGTAGCTGCCCCGGGTGTGTGTGTGGGGGTGCACGGCCCTGTGGATCGGTGTCTCCAGGAGGCATGGACCTGCAGTTCTGTCGGGTTGGAGGAAAGCAATGGAGTGCGGCGGTAGCTGGCCTGACACTAACACAGGGGTGTGCGCGACACGGAAACCGGCTCATCACAGGCTTCTGACGCGCCGGCCTCCGCTCCTGTTGGGTTCTGTCTGTCCTGGGTGACTTGCAGCAGAACAGGTTCCTTAGTGAGACTTCACGACAAGGTGGGAGGACAGACTGCAGACTGGAGCCCAGCTTCGTTTATGTCGATCCTGCCCACTGCTTGCACATTTCTTAAATCTTACTGTGCTCAGATTAGCCCTGGAAGTGTCTTCCGTTGTGCCTGGGCCGCAGGACTGCGTTTGACTTGCCGTATTTATCAGTGATGGAGAGTGCTGGCCTCTGTCGGCCTCTCCGACCAGCCCCCTGTGTGTCTGGCGCGTGGCCTGCGTGTCTGTCCCTCGGCCTTGTGCACCATGCTCCCCGTGCCTGTCGGGGGCCTGTGGCTCACCTTCCGCCCCTGTGTCCACAAGAATGGCCCGGCCATTCTCCGTCTGTAACCCTGTGCTGTGACAGCGCATAGATTCTCTCCTGTGCTTTCTCTTCCTGTGGCTGCGTCACAAGCAGGAGGCGGAAGTGCTAAAGAGTACCTGTTACCATAGTAAGTACCGCCGCCGCCTGGCCTGTCGCTTAACCAGAGTCCCCTGTGCTTTGCCTCATTCTCTTGCTTCTTTGTTGCTTATTAAGTTTTGTTTTCTGTTCATTCAAAATTAAACAAAAGCCCCCTTTTCTTGTACCCAGTCCCTCCATCGTGGGCAGTGGGCTTCTTGAAGGGGGTTGTGTCACCTGAGCCCCGCGGGGCAGCCTGCCCACAGCACCTCCTAGGCTGAGGCAGTGCTGCCCAGGGCACTCTGGGTCTCGGAAGTTCTGGAGGGACCACCTTGTCCTTCAGCCTTCGAGACGCGTGACTGCTCAGCGGGGAGGTTTTGCTGTATCAGATCAGACATAAGTCTAGACTAGGTTTGGACAGGCTGGGATTTTGCCAGCCTGCTGCATGTGGGTTGCATGTGTTTGGATCTTTGCGTTAAGCAGGGTGCTTAAGCTTAAACTGAGGAGGGTGGAAGGGTGGTGACATTTGGCTAAATGATATAGCCCCCCAAGTACCCTCTGCATGCTTGGCAGTGAATCCCAACTGCCTCCTGCCCCAGCTAACCAGCTGACCCCCAGAGCATCTAATTACCCCGGGCAGGAGGCAGCGGGCAGGGCGGGCCGGGCAGAGAAAGTCCTGGAGCCGCGTCCTGCAGCCGCTCCTCTCCCGCGCTCTGCTCAGCTCGCTCAGCTCGGCTCCCTGTCACCTCCGATGTTCGGCTAGATTTCTGGGTACTAGATGGTTTGGTGTTGCCTAACTACTCTGTGGCTTATAACTTTGCAGATAGTTTTAAAAAATCTACAAAACTGGTTTCCCCCAGGGTCAGTGTAGAAGTCAGCCAACAGGCTGTTTCTTTAAAACAAGTGCTGTTTGGCCCTTTCACGTTTCCATGTTCAAATCGTTAAGACGGCTTGAATTTTTACCTTACAGTTCATCCCTCTTCCTTGGGGAATCCTCCAGCTCTCGCCTGATGTCGGTGCTCGGGGGTCTGGGAGCCGGGAGCGGACTCCTGGGCTCTCGCTGGCGGCTGAGGCTTCCCATGGTTTTCTCCCTGGGGGAGACCAGGTGTTGTGGATGTAAACCTAGGCTTGATTTCAGGGCTACTGATATGTGTCCTGAAGGGTTCACGTGTTTAACGCAGGACATTGTTCCCCGCTTGCCGTGATCCCTGTCCGCGGTGGGGACCGGGGCCCTGTGACCAAGTCTGGTGTGTCAGCAGGCCGTCCATGAGAGGAGCTTAGAACTGCCCTGAGACTGATCTCTGTCTTGTCCTATGAGCTGTCTCCAGCCTTGGAGTAGAGCAGACCTTATTTAAAGTTTCTTATTCTTGCCTAGAGTCACACAGAGGCAGTTTCTGTGCAGGGCACTCGAGATGCCCCTCTGAGGTCTGGGCAGTTGCCCTTTAACCCCGTCTTTCCTGTCCCGCCTGCCAGACCCACCGCAGGAGCCAACTCCCAGAGACGACAGCGATGCCGCCACCTTCCAGCCGACCCTCCCCGACCTGTCCCCAGATGAGCCTTCGGAAGTGCTCGGCTTCCCGACTTTGGAGGAGGAGGAGGAGGAGGAGGGGCTTTGTGAAGCTGGGGGCCCTCCAAGTCCCACCCGGTCCCCCACGGCCGCCAGCCCCGAGCCAGCCGCAGCCCTGGCCGCGGAGGAGGGGGCTGCTGTGGACCCCGGCAGCGATGGGTCTCCGGGCAAGTCCCCGTCCAAAAAGAAGAAGAAATTCCGCACCCCCTCCTTCCTGAAGAAGAGCAAGAAGAGGAGCGACTCCTGAAGGCCTGTCCCACCAAACTGATGCCACCACTGTCCCCGACCGCGTCCCCTGCTGTCTCCTTGTGTAGTGGAATGCGAGCCCCGCCCTCTGTGTAGCTAGTGACCCCCCACCCCCACGCAGAGCGGTGCCAACCCCATGTGCGCAGCGGCCCCCACCCTGGGCCCTCGGCCTCAGGTTCTGGGGGAGACTCTGTCTCCGCGTCCAGCTCCGGGTCCTGCCCCACAGGGACCAGCACGTCGGCCCAGCTCGGTCTGCTCCCCGGGGATGCACGCTCCCTGGGGCATCACGTCATGTTCTGGCTGGACCGGAGGAGGCCCTGACCTTGACCTCACTGCTCTCCTGCTGTGCAGTGACCGCTCCCCATGTCTGCTGCGCCTTCACCCCAAGGTCTCAGGTGACTGGATCAGACCACAGCTTCCTACTAGCACGTCTGCTCAGCGAGGCCCATGAAGCCTCGGTCCTGTGAGGGCCTCGCCCGCCAGCAGCGCAGCCTCTGAGGCGGCCTTTCCCGGGCGGGTTTGGGGTGAGCGGGCGCCCCCGGCAGCAGGCGGGCCTCTGCACCTAGGGCAACCGATGCGTGGTCTCAGTGGCTCCCGCGCCTTGCTCACTGGGGTCTCCAGAGCCCTGTCGTCTGGGTCCCGTCGTTGGGAAGGCGCGTCGGGAGGGAAGAGGCCTTTCCGACTCCCTCTCCAGCAGGCGCGCCGCTTGCCCTGCGTTCAGCGAGCGTGAATAGGCCTCTGCGCAGGCACGCTCCTCCCCCCCGGGGCCTGCGTCGGGCCGCCGGGCGCCGTGCACCTTGGGGAGGTCTCAGACCTGGGAGGGGAACTGCTCTTACCTTTGCTCCGCCTGAAGGGTGCCCTGGTCTTGATGAAGGCAGCTCGAGGCAGGAGTTGGCCCTGGGGGCCCCACCTGATGTCCCGTGGTCACTGATGGAGCTCCCCCTCCGCCTCCAACACTCCACTCAGATCCCTGGAAAACAGCGTGAAGCTGCCCAGTGGGAGCCAGTGGGTGGCCCGATGGCCACCTCGACAGTGCCCTGTTCCAGGAGCTGCCGGTGCCAGCCTGTCCCCCAGATGGGTCCCCTGGAGGGGCAGGGCCCCTTGGTGGACCTGGTACCAGATGTGGGCTCGGGTCCCATACCCTCGACACCCTCACAGGACCTGAGGCCGGCTGCATGGCACTGACCTCTGCTTCGAGCTCACTGGCGAGCAAGCCGCTTTCGTGTGTATCGTTGCGTTGCCGAGATGGTGGTAAATTCTCCCCTCACCCTGAACTCAGTTAACCACAGGCTCTTCCTTTTATCTCTGCCTCTGACCCCACATATGCAATGACTTTCATTTCATTTTTGTAGTTTACTTTAATCTTTGTATCACGACATGAAGTTCAGTTGTGTACACGGACACGGGCTTGGGAGGGCAGGTCCTGTGGCCTTTCTTCACTATACGATGTTTTACTCACAAATAAAATTCTTTAAGCAGTCTCCTTGTCTAAACTTGGAGAGCAGTTTTGTGTTTTAATTTCCTTAATTTTCCTTTTTTGTTCCTTTAAAGTAGGACTTCCAGAAGTTTATCTCACATTCCAAAAAAAAGTCTCCATGTGTTTATTTCTTGGTCAAGTGCAATCTGTTGCTTCTGCCGAGGGCCCCTGACCCAGAGCCACCGCCCCAGCAAGTGCCCGCTGTCCCCAGGAAGTACAGGCATGGCCTGCGGGCACTCCCGGGTCCACAGTCTGAGCAGACGCTGGCAGGGCAGTGAAGTCGGGATCTGTGGTGGGACAGCCTGGCAAAGGGGGTCCCTCCTCCCCAGTCTGGCAGGGTGCGGGGCACACCCCCAGTACCACCTTACGAGTGCTGACCCTGCCAGTAGGGGCTCCTTCACCTGACTCTCACCCCAGCCCAGTGGAGGGGAGACAGGCTGTGGTCAGTGAAGCTATGAAAGCTGTTCAGCTCAAGCTGCTTCTGGTGCCTGGGGGTCTCCCAGGGCAGTGGGTGTGGTAGGCATGAGGCCTGTGCACGAGAGAAAGGCACTTGGTACAAAATATAGCTGCTTTATTTCGTCGTTCAGAGACCTGGCCGACACCCTGTGGCACTGAGTAGAAAAGAGAAGTTGTAGTGTCTGCTCCTCTGGGTAGACAGGCCAGGTCCACGGGGCTCGTGGGCACCCTGGGGCTGCAGGTCCTGGGCCCGCCTGGGCTGGGCCCCGGGAGGGATGAGGCAGCGGAGCAGTCCTGGCCCAGACTTCCCACTTCCCAGCCTCAGCGTGGGGTCGCGGCTCAGCTACTCAGCCTTGCGTGTCTGTGCCGGGGGCCTCGGGTCCCACAGGAGGAAAAAGGGGAGCAGGAAGAGCCCCGCGCACACGGTGAAGCAGACCCGGGCCCCAGCCAGCCAGTACACTGTGGGGAGACAGGCGATGATGGCCGCTGCGCCCAGCCTGATCACAAGTGCCCCAGGCCCCGACGTGGCAGGAGCGGACGCAGGAGGCTGAGGGGCGCTGGAAGGGTCTGCATGGCCTTCACCGGGGGCCAGCAGCCCCCGTGGCCTGGCCTGACCCCCCCCCCCCAGGGTGCACAGTGCTCCCCGAGTGCCGTCCGGTGGCCCTCACCTGAGGCGGCCACCATGGGCCCCAGTGCCCTGGCCAGGGCGCCCAGGCTCCGCAGCGTGCCCATGACTGTGCCCTTCTGCCCGGGTGAGCCTGCAGGAAGTGCGGGGAAGGCTGTCAGGTGCCCATCGGCCCGTCCCGCCCGGGTGGCCTGGGGCAAGGGAAGAGCCTCTCACCATAGCCGGCGACCACGGAGGACAGACAGGGCACCACGACAGCGGCGGCTGGTGGGGGGACATCAAGGAAGCGCCCATCAACCCAGAGGAGAGGCCGGCAGCCCATGACCTCACCCCTCCGGCCCCGGCAGGGCCACTCACCGAAGGAGTAGAGCAGCAGCCCCAGGCCTAGCACGGGCAGCGTGTGCCCCCAGCCGATGAGGAGGAAGGCAGGGAGGAGCAGCAGGATGGCCTGCAGGTGGCACAGCAGATCTCAGAACCAGCCCTGCTGCTTTGGCCAGTGCTCAGGACACCCTGCCCCCACGTCCAGGGGAGCCCCCGTACCCGCTTCACAGCTGCAACTTCCCTGCCAGGGCTGATCCGTCGGGCGTAGGCGCCCTGGATGGTGGCCATGGTGAGGCCGATGAAGAAAAACATCTTTCCCTGCTGTAGGCTGCGAGGGGGGAGCTGTCAGCGCCCCTGTTCTCATGCGCTGAGCCAAGCAGCCTGGGCGACAGCCTGCTGGTCACCCGCCAGCCCCAGGATCCTCGCTGGGCCCCGGGGGATGGGCCAAGGTGGGAGTCAGCCCTGAAGCGATCGGGCTGGGGGCCGCCAGGATGGGGAGCCTGCAGGGCGTCACCAGGCGGGTCCCGGGAGGGGCCCCAGACTCCCACCTGCTGAACCGGAAGCGCTGGTGCACGAGGAAGCTCAGTGTGTACTCCAGGCCCGAGAACAGGAAGAGGTAGAGGAAGTAGACCAGGCCCAGGCGGCGCAGGCTGCCCAGCCCTGGGGAGCAGCAGGGAGGGGCTGTCAGGGCCCCCGGGGCAGCCCTAGGGGGCCGCAGCCCCACCCTCTCGAGGGGGCCTGCTCCTTACTGACTCCAGTGGGCGGGTCTGGGCCACGAGCCACAGCGGAGAAGCGGAGCAGGGCCAGGGGGCTGAGCAGGTCAGCAGCAGCTTGGAACCCCAGAGTCATGGAGGGCGCCTGGAGAGGATAGAACTGAGGGCCCTGGCAGGAGCTGGCCGCGTCCCCAGGTTGGGCAGTGCAGGGATGGGCCTGACCTGAATCTCCCATCCACCTGCCATGCCTAGAGGGCAGAGGGTCTGGGGAGCCAGGCGCCCCAGGAGGCCCTGTGGTCCCAAGAGCCTCTGGACATCAGGAAAGGACAGCCCGGCCAGCCTGGCCCGTGGGGCTGGCACACACAGCCGGCACCCCTACAGGCCCTGGAGCTGAGGTGAGCCTCTGCACCTTCAAGTCATGTCCTTCCGGCTCCCACCTTACCCGCTTCTCCAAGGGCAGAGTCTCCGGCAAGAAGCAGAAGATGAACAGCAGGTCAGAGATCGCGAAGAGCAGGGCCAACCAAGGTGCCGACTCCAAGGGCAGGGAGGCGCCGAGCATAGGGCCCAGCGTGAAGCCCAGAGAGAAGGCCACCCCGATGACTGCCTGGGGAGAAGGCTGCCTGAGCCAGGCAGGAAGACCCAGGCGCCCCTCCAGCCCTCGGCCCCCAGCGTGTGCACTCACCATGCCCCGGCTACGGGCGGCAGGTGAGCCCAGGTCGGCGACAATGGCAGTAGAAAGGCTGACGTTCCCCTTGCTGATGCCCCCGATCACCCTGGAGGCCAGGAAGGCCGCAAAGCTCTTCGAGGCAGCCCACACGGCATACGAGGTGGCCAGGCCTGCCTGCCTCAGGGCAGGGGTCGAGGGCAGGTGCGGTCACTTGAGGCCAGGAGGGGCCCACAGTGGGCCAGAGAGCCCAGGCAATACCCCTGGGACCCTGCCCTGTTCTGGGGCATGCAAGGACCCCTGTGTTCCCCGTGTCCCCGTGGCAGGAGCAGCTCTGATACAGCCTGGCTTAGCCACAGGAGCCACCGCCCCCTCAAACACCACCCCCAGGGGGAAGTGAGGGCCAACAAGGGACCGTGAAGGGCCCACAGCTGCCCCCCCAGAGCACTGCGGGGCGGGGGGTGGGGTGGGAGGAGCCCCTACCCGTGGGCACCCGTACCAGAGATAGCAGCATCACCGGGCGCCTTCCTAGGCAGTCAGAGACGGCCCCCGAGAGCGGTGCGGAGAGGAACTGCAGGACGGAGAAAACTGAGCCAATCAGACCTGGAAGAGACAGAAGTCAGTCACCACAAGGGTCTGATCAGGCTGGGCCCCCCTGTATTCTCAGGCCATGGGCCTCCAGCTGAGGTGGCCCCAACAGTATGTGGACATCACTTGGAAAGGTGGCAGACAGGCCTGGGAATGAGAAGACGTGGACCAGAGCCTGAGACTGACAGGCGCCCAGGGGAAGGAGGACGGCCAGGGCCAGGAAGACAGTACCCTAGTGGGCCCACCATGTGGGCTCAGGGCCATACCTCCAAACAGGACGCTGTTGTATCTCTTCTCTGCGGGCATCCCGATGGCTGCAGCAAACCAGTCCACTCCTCGCTGCCATGAGCCATAGAGGGGATCCTGGGGGATGAGGAAGTGTGACGAGCTGGGGGGGGGGTCCCCGATAAGGCTTGGGGCAATCATGGGGCAGTTATGGCACGGGGGCAAGGAGTGAAGGGGCATGGAGACTGGCGGAGGCTCACGTGGGACCGGCCATGGCTCTCCAGCAGCCCGGGCAGCAGGGGCAGCAGCAGAGTGAAGGCCAGGAGGTCCAGCAGAAGGCCGAGGAAGACTACGGTGACCACGCGGGTTTCGGATTCCGGCTGCTGGCGGATGGGTGGGCGCGGGGTGCAGCTGCCTCCGGCTCCCCAGCCCATGATGGGGACCGCTCCGATCCCGCCTGGCTGAGCGTGTGGCGGGACTGCATGAGGGCACATTGCACGAGGGCACACCTGGGTGCCCCAGCGCCCACGCCCACCTACCATGGAGGGAAACAGTCTCCCACCTGCCGCCGTCTCCACCCTTCCCCCGACTGGCTTACAGCCAGCGCGCACCTAAAGCGGTGGCTCCTGTGGCTAAGCCAAGCTGTATCAGAGCTGCTCCTGCCAAGGGGACACTGGGAACATAAGGGGTCTTTGCATGCTCCAGAACAGGGCAGGGTCCCAGGGGTACTGCCTGGGCTTGCTGGCCCACTGTGGGCCCCTCCTGGCCTCAAATGACCGCACCTGCCGGGGGAGCCGGTTACCCAACACTGCGGTACTTCTGTGCGCCCTGCCCTCGGCTCTGGGCAGCAGATAACGCAGGCTGCGAAGGTTGTGCAAAGAAACCGCAGCTCCAGAGGCCAACCGTCCAGGGGCCGGGGCGAAGCATCCCAGCCCCAGACACCTCCCCGCCGCCGCCCACGTCCGGTGCGGAACGGCCTGGGAAACGGAGGCCCGCGCGCGGGGCG